ATTGGTTTGTCATTCTGGAGTATTGCTGCACCAAGCTGATAATCAGATGCGTCAGTGTAGATATGAAAGGGGTCTTTCAGATTGGCAAAGGTTTTGATTGCATCATGTGCAAGAAGAGCTTTCATTTCCGCAAATGCTTGATTGCAAGCAGGGGTTCATACGTAAGGTCCTGAGCCTGTGAGGGCTGTTAGYGGGGCCAATACATGTGAGCGGCGAGGCCACATGGATTTGTAGTAGTTCACTGCACACAGGAAAGACCGGACCTGTGATTGGTTTTGGGGAACTCCCATTCTTAAAATTCCATTGACTTTCTTCTGCCAAGGCTTGACACCAGTGGGGGTGAGCCAATAGCCAAGGAAATCAGATTCTTTCACTGCCCATTCACATTTCAGTKGATTGCACTTCATTCCATTGGATGCTAGTCTTTCCAGAAAGGGGTCAACCAAAGAAAGGTGTTGACTAAAGGGTCCACGAGACCAAATACCCATGTCGTCAATATAGACTTCAACATCCAAGCCCAATAGGATCTTTGTGATGAAAGCTTGTGCGTAGTCGGAAGATGACTTGAGTCCCATGGGCAATCTTAAGCATCTGTAGTTGCCGTGTGGTGTGGTGAGAGTGCAAATCTTTTGGCTCTCTTCATCCAATTCAAAGCAGTAAAACATCATGGAAAGATCAATCTTAGTGAAATGGTCATATTGTGTTCTTCGGTTCAGGATGTSTTGGATTTTGGGGAGATTAAACTGAGGTCTCTTGATCCTCTTGTTTAATTCTCTGAGATCGAGCCATCTGACTCTGCCGTCCTTTTTTGGAATGATGAAGGCCAGAAAGCCCCATTCTGAATTGCCAGTAGGGGCTATCACCCCTTCATCAACAAGATGCTGGCATTCCCTTTTAAAGACATCCTCGTGTCTGTAGGGAACTGGGTATGGTCTTATATAAACTGGTTCTGCATCATCCTTAAGATCGATGTGGATCTTTTCATGTGGATATCTGCCTAGTTTGCCATCAAACAACTCTTGGTGTTTGGCTAACATCTCTGTGAATGCTAGTCTTTCTGAACTGTTCATATGCTCCTGCTGGTCTGCAACCTACTTTGGAGTCACCTTCTGGTACTGCGTGTCCAGGATTTTTCTGGCAGCAACTGCTGCTAAATAACTGTCCAAACYGACTGCACGTCTGCAGTTTTGTGGTTGGCAGCTGCTTGGGGGGAGTAAATGAAACTCTATGAATCCTCCATCTAAGAGTTCATCATCCTCTGCGATCCACGTGGCTTCTGCCATGTGCTGGGGATCATTAAAATGATCTACTGGTTTCATATCGATGATTGAGCCTAACCATCTAATAGTGCGTGTGGAATAGAGGAAAACTATTCTGGTCAACATTAGGAAGTCTCGTCCTAGGATCATATCGTAGTTGCAAGGAGCTGAGAAGAGCCTTGCATTGATCCCTCATGTATATTTGCCATTGCCAAACTCGGGGAGACGAATGTTGGAGATGAAGACATACTTCGAAGTATCAAAGCTTCCCTGAGCTGTTGTCGTGACTGAGCTGAATTGGTCTTGGAAGGGCACTGTTCCTGGTGGAAGGCAACGCTCTTGGATAAGACACATTGTACTCCCACTATCCAATAGAACTTTATAGGTGTTCATTGTCGGTAGGCCCTGAATGGCTTTGTATACTAGGATGGCTGCTGGGAATACATCCTGCACATCCGGTGGTGTTTTCAGAGCTCTCAAGGTGGCTGCTGTTGGGTTCWTAAGAGTGTCTTCATTATCAAGACCGTAGAATTCCAAGCTCTCTGCTGAAGATCGTCTAGGTGCTGGAGGCAATGCAAAGAAGGCCTCTTTTGGATGTCACCACTGTTG